AAGAGCTTAAAGGCGAACTCATATGGAAGTAGGAAGCAAGTGGAAAATCTTCCACTAAATCCTTCTGCAAGTATTTGCTCGTCATTGCTGATAACATTAACCCAATTTGAAAACATGTTTGGGCGAACTTAGCCTCTTATCGAGTAGAGATTTTTGTGTGGCAATTGTTGTTTTGTAAAATAGGGGAGAAAGAGGAACTTTCCAAACGAGGTGTCCACGTCAATAAAAATCTGCTATGTGTGCTGTATAATATGAAAATTGAGTCTGACCATCATTTTGCTAAATGCAAAGAGACATGGAATGTGTAGGCGGGTTGGTGCAGAAAATGGAGTATAGTCTAGGTATCTCCAGGAAAAGTTAAAGGGCTTCTAGAAGCTTGGAATGGATTCTAGTTGGGAAACCTTGATAAAAGAACTTGGTTTTCTTGGTTGTGGTTTGGTCCGTTGGGAAAGATGGAAATGAAATGGTTTTTAAAGAAAAAAATTGGGATGCAGGGAGATGCTTAGACCATGCTTGCATTAGAGTAGCTGAATGGGCAAATGCAAAGTGGCCGTGGGAATATCCATTTATTTTAGAAGCTTACAGACAACCCGATGTAAAGACAAAAACAAAACAAGAGATAAGGAAAACGAGGGATTGTTTAGAAGAAACCACAAAATGGACAAATGAAGAAAGAATTGATTGTGATATTCCTTCCTATTCTACATTAATGAATTATGCTTCTAAAAAGTATATGTATAAAATAATTACAAATGAACCCAAAAATTTAATGACAATTTTTGTTCTCTTATATAAAAATGAAGAAAATTGAAAAGATATAGGGAGAAAGAGGAAACAAATGCACTTAATGTTGAAGAATTTCATGGAAAATTAATGAGAGACTATCAAACCACCTTTCAATGTCTTTTGGCTCTATATTAAGTCTTTCAAAATTGCATGTTCATGGTGAGCTGTCCTTGTCTACCTTGTCTTACAAAATAATTAATCCTCATTATTGCTTTTAATTGAGATTGAAGCATGAAACTACTTTTCGACCTACTACTATATATAATTAATTATCAAAAATTGCTACCTCAACTCCTCCTTATCGTCCCTTGTTCTTATTGTATTTCAAGTTGATTCTCCCCATTTGTTTCATTTTGTTCATCTCCACTTAATATTTTTTGAACAAACGAATTTAATTTTGATCATTACTGTTTAAAATATCGTATAAAAATAAAATTTTTTAAAAAATATGTTTTGAAATGTTTGAAATTTAAAATTTGTAAAAATTATTTTATGATTTTGTTAAAAATAATGACAAAAGTTGAATTCTTTGACTAAAACAAAGGAAATAGTATTTTTGATGCACATGGGAAGGCAAATTTAGGACAACCTGCTAATGCCATAACCTTTCTTGTATTATTACCAACTAAAATTACTAGTATAGAAAGTAACAAATGAGTAAACTATTTCATAATTGTTACAATTGACGAAAAAAAATCATTTAATAATTTAATTACTTGAATTATTATTAATTTTTATTTGATATATAAAGTTTAAAAATTCATGATTAGGTGCTCGAATTTTACTTTTATCTAACAATTGACACATAAAATTAACACTTTTGTCCAACTAGTGATATACCCAAAACATGACATGTTAATAAGAATTATAGTTGTATTTATTTTATATGTCTCGTGTTGTAACTATTATGGTTTTTCATTATGAAATGAAATTTTTGTTTTGTAAAAAAAAAAAACAAGAAGATATTTTTGAAAACATATATGTGGCATGTTTTTATTGAATTTTTTTATACGGTGTCGATTTAATTAAGGATATTATCTAATGTATGCTTGCAAATTAAAGGATGAAAAAAAAACATTCAAGTATCTAAATATAAATTATAATCAAGGGTGTGGTTCAACAGTAATAATCCTTGTTTTGTATTTCTCCTTTTATTTTGTGGGCGCCATTTTTTCTCTTCTTTCAGTTTGTCATTTTTTGAGAGCTGTAAAGCTATTGAGACACTTGGGGAGAGAGGATTAGCGTTTGGTGAGCTGGTGTCAGGAGGAAGCCATTTTCTTCCCTTCCTTCCCCTGCCTCATCCATTCCCTCTGTGCGGAGCAAAAACAGAGTGACTATTCCTAGATCCCAAGTAAAGAGAAGAAAAGAAAATGGAGAAGGCATTGACAAAAGCTGGTAGCTTCTGGATTTCCAAGAAAGCCAAAGCAGAACTCTCTAACATCACTGAAGACCTCTCTGTGCGTATGGTTATAAACTCTTCTTTTTAGATGGTTCAACTTTCTCTTGCAATAGAATTTGATAATACATAAAGTTCCAGTACTTCTCATCTCTTTTCTCAAATATTTTATGGTAAAGCTGAATGTGAGAATCAAGATCTGGTTAGCTTTATTTTCTTGAATAAGAAGAAGATTTATGTATATTAGGATTTCCATTTTTGGCTTTTTTCTTTCTTTCATATGTATTGCCTTAGGCTTTCTTCTCTACCGTTATGCTTGAACACCTGATGAATTTGCTGTTTGCTGAAACTGTGATTCATGATTTCAGTCCCTGTCTAACACGGTTGAAGAGAAGGCCAAATGGATATTCAACAAGCTGAAAGGTAAGAGTCCTTTTATCTATTACTTAAATACCCAGTGTAGTGTTCCTTTCTGATCATTGGGTATTCATTCTAGATCAATACAGAACAATGTGATTCACTGCCATAGATGACACACCGTGCTTCTAGTTAAGTGACTCCTTCCCTTGGGAAAAGCCTAACGGGGAGGGTCTTGCTAACTTGTGTTTGTTGTCATGATGCCTTTGGTCTCTAGTTCACGGATCATAATCCTCCATTTATTCGCTACATACATAGTTTGACAATGCCTATATCATAAGATTTGTACTGTAATCATCTGTTGTTACAGGTAAAGCGGCGAAGGCCTTGCCAGATCTCCTCCGGGAGCACAACCTTCCGCCCGGTCTATTCCCACGAAACATAACATGTTACGAATTTGATGAATCAAAATCCAAGCTGATTGTGTACTTCACTTCTCCATGCGAAGTGAAGTTCAAGGATGCATCGGTTGTGAGGTATGCAACTCGTGTCAAAGCAACATTGTCAAGGGGAAAGCTGAGTGGAATCGAAGGGATGAAAACAAAGGTCCTTGTATGGGTTAAAGTCACCGGTGTGAATGTTGAGAGCTCCAAGTCTGACAAAGTTTGGTTCATGGCTGGTGTCAAGAAATCAAGGGCTAAAGATGCCTATCAAATGCCTGCTGATGCTGTTAAAGTAGAAGAATTTTGAGCTTCTTACATGTCAAGCTTATTGTTAACCATGATGTTAATCCACCAACATATGTACATCTCTATTAGTCTATCATGGGAGTGATTAAGTGTCTTCAGCTTTAGTCATTCCCTAAACTCACTCATTTATATACAGTTTTACTATTCACAACCCACATTTCTTTTCAAATTTACTTTTCAATATCCATTAAAACATATACTGAAAACTACTTAATAAAACTGCCTTTAGGAGTACAAAATGACTGAAAGTATTTTCCATAACCAAATACTTGTTTTATTTGGTAAGAAGCAAGTATTTTATGCTTTTTACCCAAAAACAAACAAACTAACAAACATGTATTTTTAAAAGAATAAAAATATCTATTAACTAACATGACAAATGGTGGAACTTTGGTGAAACTTATTTTTGAACAAAGACACCATCAAAATAGATATGTCAATCAAATTTAAGATTGTTAATAAGTAAGGTATCCGTTAATTTTGAAGTACCTAAATCCAAGGTCGATTAATAAATAGGATACATGAATGTTACAATTGCTTGACTATCTTAAGAATTTCTTACCCAAACTCGAACCTGAACCTTAATACCCTATTAACTAATATGATAATCGATGGAACTTTGGTGAAACATATATTTGAATGAAAAACATCATTAAAATGGATATGTTGATGAAATTTAAAGGGTCAATGGATAGGGTATTCGTTAACTTTGAAATATCTAATCCAAATTTAATTAATAAGTAAGGTACTTGAACTCCACAACTACTCAACTATTTTTGAAATTTCCTTCTCAAACTCGAACCCTAATGCCTTATTAATTGATATGATAGATGATAGAACTTTGGTGAAACACATTTTTGAATGAAGACACCGTTAAAATAGATATGTTAATTAAATTTAAGATTGTCAACCCGATAAGGTACTTGTTAATTTTGAAGTACCTTGATCGAAACTCAATTAATAAGTAGGGAACTCAAATCCTACAACTACTTGGCTATTTTTGAATATCTTACATAAACTCGAACTCTAATACCTTACCCACTGCCCGTTAACAACCCTAACCCATTTAAATACCTGATTGTGCAAAAAAAAATTATTAACCTCTTTATGGTAACTAATTACCTTAACCTATATAAGAAAATAATTATATTTCACAATTCATATTCATATAATTCACTAATAATTTAATTTATAAAAACAAATAAACATTAAAATTAAAATCAAAATTTAAATTTAAACAATTGATTATTTTAAAAATATCTCAAGTAATTATTTAAATAATTAAAAATAAATAAATAAATATTTATAATCAAATTTAAGTATCGAGGATTCAAAAAGTGACCTATATTCTACTGAATCGAAAATATATATTAAAATTGTTATCTGAACCTGTCTAAAATTCGAATATAAAACATATGTATCTTATGTAATTGAATCGGATGGGTGCAAAGAATATCTATTGCCATCATTGAAACTGTTTGCCTGACAATTAAGCTTTTGATACTCTCCACTAAAGTAATTATAGTCTAGCCCAAGCCCAATGAAAAGGTGTCGCGTTCGAAGAACGCAGCATATTCCTGAAAATCTATCCAAAATTCCGCCCCATCATCATCAATCACCGCTAAAATTCAACGACGATAAAGCACTAAGGACCCCACCATCACTTCTCCCATAAGGATAAACACGAATAAAACTGAAAACCCTAATGAACAATAAAAAACCTATAAAACCCCCGCACGCGCCCTGCCCTTTATTTCCCCACCTTCTCCGCCCCCATTCTGCCTACTGCAAAGCGTCCACACACCAATAAAGAAGAAACAAAAGAGTTGGTTGAAGCCCGCAAATGTCGGACGAGGAGCACCATTTTGAATCCAAGGCCGACGCCGGCGCCTCCAAAACCTACCCTCAACAGGCCGGTACCATCCGCAAGAACGGCTACATCGTCATCAAAAACCGCCCCTGCAAGGTCCCATCTCGCTGTTTCTCTTTGAATCCTGGAATTTAGTTATTTATATTTTGGATCTGTCTGTTATTATCCTGCCAATGAGCTCGGAATTATCCGTCTGATTTAGGTTTTTCAGTGTTTATGATTTCTACTTGAGATTTTAATGGTTCAGATCTGTTAATTTTTTTCATTACTTTCAATCTTAAGATAATTGATTTTTTTTTTATTTTGCTGCTTGCTTCTTTTATTTATTTATTTTTAATAGTTTCTGGAGATGAAAGGTAATCTTTCATTTCTAGGATTAAAAAGCAAACGATAATTTTGAAAAATTAAAAATAACTAAGAATAAAATATGATCCTGCGTTTTATTCTATGATCTTTAGCTTTATAGTAACCTTAATGAAGCAAATCCAAACTGGAAAAAGTAATAAAAACGAGCAACTAGTCAAAGTTTGTACTATTAAAAACTTAATAATTTTTGAATAAATCTTCTCATGTTGAGCAAGCCGATGATATTTATTGGCATGTGATAAATTGTTCTTTGATGGGTTGACTGATTATTTACACCCAATGGTTGCTATTTAGATTTGTGTGTCTAATGATTGCTGTTGTATGTTATGAGACAGGTTGTAGAAGTTTCCACTTCCAAGACTGGGAAGCACGGTCATGCTAAGTGTCACTTTGTTGGAATTGACATCTTCACTGCCAAGAAGCTTGAAGATATTGTTCCTTCTTCCCACAACTGTGATGTATGGAAAGCCTTCCTTCAATTAGTAAATCGTTTATTGTTTCTCTGATTCTCGTTTTAAATCTATCATGTAATTGCATAATTTTTAATGAATGTTTTTTTTTCTCTGTTCCAACAGGTTCCACATGTCAATCGTACTGACTACCAGTTGATTGACATTTCTGAGGATGGATTTGTAAGTTCATTTGCTTCTTTTTTGCTTTTTTTTTTCTCTTTTCTGTTTTTCTCTTCTCAACTAGTTAAATATTTCAGGTGAGTTTGCTGACTGAAAGCGGCGGCACTAAGGATGATCTGAGGCTTCCAACTGATGATAACTTGTTGACCCAGGTGAATTAACTACTATGTTTGTTTCTGGAAGGCATCAATTAACTATCGTTACATGTTTTTTATTTGGCCTTTTTGGTTTTAGTAGCTTTTTGTTGTTATTAAATTTACTGATTTGAATTCTGGAGAAACAACAAATCCAGTCTTGTGCACCATTGGTTGGTACATGTATTATATTGTACCCCTTTGGCTACCATGCAGTTGCAGTCAAGGGAGTCCAGTGGCAGCTCAGATTTGCCCCCCCCCCCCTCCTTCTCTCTTTTTTTTTTTCATTTTCTGCTAAATAAAGAAGAAAGGGAGATGAAAGAATTTGTGTGAGAGAACGAATGAAAGAAATATAGTTTTAGCAAAAAAGAAGGTTTATATTTAGTCGTTCAAAACTTCATGTTTTGATTTCCTGGCTTTTTGACGTGGGCATCCTGATTGAATGCCATTTTCCTATCATGGGTAAAGACAGTCCTTTTGTTTGACATGTTTAAACTTTAATCCAGCTTAAAGGGGTCTGTTTTTATTACAGTGCTACCCAAATTTGCATTTCTTATTTTGCAGGGTGCTTATAAATTTGCATAAATCTTCTTGTTAGAGTCATGATTAGTACCTCATGTAAATCTATCAAACCATGAAATTATGGATGAACTTGTGTTGCATCAAGATGATAGTTGTATTTCACTTTCATGTCTGTATGCCAAATGTTGGAAGTTGTTGCTAATGCAATCTTTTTTTGGGATTGCAGATCAAGGATGGTTTTGCAGAGGGGAAAGACCTGGTTGTGTCTGTCATGTCTGCAATGGGGGAGGAGCAGATCTGTGCTCTCAAGGACATTGGTCCAAAGTAGTTAAAGATTGATTTGCAAATCTACTATTCCAATTTTAATTTAAAGATTTTGTTGTAAAAGCTTTTATAGCTTGCCTCTCCATGACTTGGGTACGTATAGATGCTGTTTGGATGGGTTCTATGTTTGGTTTGGATACGAAAACACCATTACTAGTTTCATGTTGTGCTATGGTTTATTATTGTTCCCTTCGAGTCCCTTTTTCTTCAAAAAATCAGACTAAGGCGGTTTTCATTTCATTAGAAGTTCTTCCTTATAACAATATATTTTATAACCTCTGGGTTTTGATATCATTCTGGGAACAGTTAGCCAAGTAGACTCCATCACTATATTCTTCCCCTTTGCTGCCTTTTCTCAGTGAAAGGATACAAGTTTAAATAGCGAAGCCATTTTATATTGCAGCATACGACTCCGGAATATGGTTCCCTGGTCTGCATTTCCTGGTTTTTTGCCTTGTTCGGTAATATGACTAAATGTTAAAACGTGTGAGATGCTAAAATTTTTAATATAATATATATATATATATATATTCCTCTAATATGGCTTTTTTCAAAGGAACGTGGAAAATTGCTGAAAATTATTGAACGTATCAAAACAATTGACCGAAACTAGTTTGATTTAGGTTATTTCGATTGTCTCTGTATTATTGATTTGGAGTTTTCTCAATAATTTAATTAGTTTTTTAGTCAATTAGTTTGAAAATTCTAAAGATAATTTAATTAGTTATTTTTAATTAAGAAAAAGAGATTCAAATTATGTACATACGTCAAACAATGAGTTAATACTTTTAACTGTAAATAGGTTCATTAGATTGATTTTCGAAATTATCAAAGCCAAACTGCTAAATACAAAGAAGTTTTTTCTTTTTAGCATAATTTATTTACAAATCGACATTTTTAAAAAAGAAAAAATTAATTCGGTTCTACAAAACTCAATGAGTAGTACGTAATTTACTCAAAAATTTTGTTAAGTAACGCCGCCATTTTTTACCTAAAGAAAAAAACTTAAAAATAGAAATAATTTTTGCAATTTTTTTTTTAAAAAAATGCCCAAGCGTAAACTCAAGGTCAAGGATGCCCTGAGCTGACACATGATGAAAAAAGCATGTGTTTTTCTGAGCCTCCATGTCGTCTTAATGGACATATCGGCAGAGAACCGAAACTTATAAACGCAAAAAAGGATGAGTTCTTCATCTTCGTCTTCTTCCCCTCGTCGTTCTCGTATTAGCAATGGAGAAGATGAGAGGCCAAGATTCTTCGACTCGAAGGCAAAGAGCAAGTGCTGGGCCAATGCAGAAACAGTGCCTGGTCGTCATCCTGAGAGATGGCGCAAAGACGCTGCTGGCAACATCGTCTGCAAGCGTTTCTGCAACTGCAAAGGCTGCCTCTGCTTCGAGTACGACCACATCGTCCCCTTCTCCAGAGGTCTCTTTTTCTTTCTCTTCCTCTCTATCTCTTAAAGAAACCCGTTTGTTAAATTTTTCACTGTTCTTTCTGTCTTTTGATGGGCAATTGGAGTGTTCCTTTCCATTTTAACTTGATTTAGTTGGATGTTGAAATGGGTATTGCGGGGTAGTATTTCTGTGAGTTCTGTTGACTGATTGCGGGATTTTGATTTTATTTGATGCTTTGCTTGATAACGGAGAAATGGTGGGGAAATGAACAAATTTGGAAATGTCATACCTCCTGTTGCCTGAGAAATTGGAAATAAGTACTCAAGTGAGACTAATTGGATAACGTAGCTAAGTTGAGTAGAAATTTTCATTATTGACAGCCAGTAGAGTATTTGACAAATTTTTAAAAATTTAGCCCCTTTAATTTTGTTTGCTTTCAAAATTTTTGTTGGAGGCAAACTGTTATATCTTTCAACTTCAGGTGTAGATTATGTGTGTGATTTTCAGTTGTTTATTTGTGGTTGTGTGTTGTAGGTGGTGAGTCCACGGCAGAAAATTGTCAAATTCTTCAAACTAGGGTGAATAGGCTTAAATCAAACAAAGAGGTGGATACAACTCGGTTGAAAGGTTACTCTTGCTCTGTCCAGTTTACTGGTAAGATTGCCTTAATTCTCATCTTTTCAGTTTAATCTGAAGAGTGTGCTATCTGAATGCTTGCATATCTTTGTTTCTTTTTATAACTGTTCTCTACATTGTTAATATGCCAAGAGTCTCAAGAATTGATCCCTGACTTGTCATTGAGGTTCAGTTTCTTATCAGTTGTTTTCTGCACAGCAGAAATAATGTTGAATTTAATTTTAAAAGAATAAAAGACTTAAAACAGATTCCAGGTTCAAACATACATCTGTGTAATCTGTTGAAGTTGCCAGCTTTTGATCAGTTTTGTAAGGCATAAATTTCCTGGTAATCTGTCACTCATTTTAGAGGTATCAGTGGGACTTTAACCACAAAGTCTATTTTCTTAAGATGGCCTCGACACAATCTTAAAGAAAGTAAATTAAGTTTGCTGGCAAAGCAAGACCATGATATGGGATGCTTACTAGAAAGATCATCCTTGGTCCTCTTATTATGAGTGTGGCATCATTATAATTAAATTAGTTTGTTTGTGTTTTGGAGTTTGAGGGCTTCAGGGAGAATTGCTTAATAACCTGTTTCAGTTCCTTAAAGGCATTGTTGTTAAAGAAGAAAACCACCTTCTCTTTTTGTGCGTGTGTGTGGAAAGGGGGGGTGGTAATGTTAGAAAATGTGCTAAACAATTTTCAACAATGTTTTCATAACTGAACCATTCAAAGAATTGGTTGGGATTAGGTCCCTGTTCAACTCGCTGAACTCATTGTAATTTTTGCCATTATGATCTTCACCCGAGTTGAGGAAAAGAGCTACTCTTTCTTGTCGCCACTGGCCCACTTTCAAAATTCAAGCATTCAAACTTCACATTCCTACAACGTTACAATATTTTTTGTGAGAAATTTCCTAGGTACATAAAAACAAAAGCTCTTGGTAGTTGGTACACTCAATGTTACTTTTTTTTTTCTCAAATAAACACAGCATAGAATCTAAACCACTAGGAACGAACTGGTTTGATACATTTAAACCAGAAAAAGGAGTTCAAAAATGCTAAAATCCAAAGAGACAAACTTGAAATCTAACTGAAATCAAGCATTATAAGATTGCTGAGATGGGTGGCTGTGTGTCTGGGTGTTGACAATTGGCCAATAGGTGTTTAATTAGATAAGAAAGAAATACAAAATTAGGGATTGCAGGTACCTGATTTTGGCAACTAACTTGTTAAAGCTTTAAGAGTTGTTTTACAACAAGCAAAATGCTATGCAGAGAGCAATGGGAACAATCAGAACAGGTAGAACAATTATATCACACGAACAACAGTAAAAGTAACCTGGAACAAATGTCAAGGTTCACATGTTAGCTTCACCCTTGGGATGTTCAAGAGCGTTTGGCTCGGTGGCTCAGAATCTGGAAATAGTTAGGAGGGTTTAACCTTTTCCTGAAATACATGTGTTTTTCTGTTTGCCCTTTTACATTTTTCCTTTTACTCAGGAACAAATCTCATTGCAATATTAATGACCATTTGCTAGAAAAGCCCAGTGCTCTAAATGGCCACATAAAGGGGTTTCAGTAACTATTACCTATTATGTACATTAAAGCTTTTTCAATAACTGTTACTCATTATGTATATTAAAGTTTGTTATTTAGTAACTATTTCTTCTTCTCTACATATGGGGCTTTGACAATTCATTCAAGAATAAGATTTCTTGGACAAAAACAAATGGACTTTCACACACTCTCTAAATATTTTCTCTCAAATTCTCTTCTACTTAGCCCTTCTCCGCTCTATTCTTAGCCTTTCTATGTTGCTTACCTATTTTCTACATTTTTTCTGCCCTATTCTCAGTCTTACTCTACCACTTACCTATTCTTTACACCTTCTCTGCCTTATTCTGCCACTTACCTATTCTCTCTCACTTTCCACAGCACATAGTGCTTCAGGCATCACTGGAATCTTTCTCTCCACTGCCTTTAGCACATCCTGTTTACTTATTTGCAGCACTACCTTTCTCTCCCTACCTCAAAAACCACCCCTCTACCAGAGCGAAAAGAGAAAGTGTGGCCTTGAAGTAGGTATGTGACAGCTTGGGTTCTAATTTTTGGGTGACAAAAGTGGGATTTAGAACTTCTGGCTATAAAGCACATGGTTTTTAGAGGTTTAAAACCCATATAGTAAAAAATAAAAACAAATGCAGTTTAATTGCTGTAAACCTTGTTAAGCAGTTTGAATGATTTAGTCTAATTTTTTATTGCTTCAAGGCTGATATTCTCGTCCTAGTTGGTGATATTCCTGGTTGAACTGGCCAGTTTGGTTTGTTCCTGAAAATAGTGGTTTCCAAGGAGCAAATGCAGGTAGGAAGCAGTGACAACAAGAGTTTCTTATGGAAACATTAATGTCCGACAATTGTCTTTATTTTTAAAATTCTGGGGGAAATATTTTGTTTCTGATTGGTTAAGTAACAGGTTTACCAAACATGCCCTTTCTCGCTATATTCACTCACTGACTTACTTGATATGGAGGATAAACTTCTGGCACTGCTTCAGTATAGGTGCCATACTACACTTGATGGATTTCAAATGCGTTCTTTGGCCATCACTGATCATAGGATTTCTTCTGAATTAGCACAACCATTGTTCCTGAGAATCCCTGTATGTACCAATCAACCGTGGATGATGTTATCTGTGTGGATGATTGCTTCTCCATTGTCTAGGACAGGAACTCTGGTTCTCTTTAGCAAGTTGAGAGCCTCTCATATCACAATCTTAATTTATGGAGACAACCTATGTAGAAATTTACTTCAAAAAAAAATCAAGAGTTCCAACTTTTGTTCCATGAATTTTGTTCTAGGTAAAGTCAAGCAGTATCCTATTTAAAAGCATTTACTTGTTTTAAAATTACTTTAATTAACAAGTGTGCATAAGCATCTTGGAACTGAGAAGCATATTTCAAAGCAAACCATTAATTTGCAGTTTTTGTGGCTGCAGTAAATAGTAATTTAGTGGTTTATTTTTACAAGCTAGGCTATAATTTTGATCTGGCCATTTTGATCTGTGCCCAATTGTGACTTGCTTGTTCACCATTCTGGTTCGCCTCAACCTCTAAGCTTTCGATTATCCCCTTTTTTTCCTTCCTTAAGCATAAAATAGGCAGTTCTTCCCTTGCCCTCCATACAATATTTTCTTCAAAAAACCATTTTGTTCCATTGTGGTTTCATATATATATATATATATAATTTGTCATTTCAAGTTTGAAGTATTTACCTAAATTCAAATGTTGTTTTTACATCTTGTAGATAAGGAGCTTGACATAATCGAAATGGCTGTTTACGGGGACGTAAGTCGGCCTGGTAATCAGTGTCGCTGCAGAACTGTTGCTGAAATGCTTGGAAAATTCAAGTCAAAAGATGACTTGGCTGCCTGCAAACTGCCATATGATAAAGAATCTGTATAGCAAACAAAGACTACACATTGATGCAAGACTCTTGACAAGATTTTCAAACAACAATGTTTCTGATTCTGCATTTCTGATGTTGTGCAGAGTGCTTGGGAACATGTTCATTCTGATAGAAACGTAAACTGAGATTGAACCTCCCCCAAGCTTTTTGGGGCCACAAATTGAACACTTGAATCAGATCTGTGATTATAGTTTTGGATTTGATGAGATGTCGTTTTCATCCCCATTTCGCGTGGAGTGTTGCTTTGTCAAAGGTGGGTTGAGTTCTGCCTCAATCCTTCATACTTGTAAGGAGCAATGGGATTCCATCGATGTGGGGATGGGATGGCTCTCCTCTGTCTCCACTTTGGAAGAGGAAAGTGAATGATTGAGCTCATTGAACTACGTTTCGGAGACACTATTACTCCAATTTAAATCAAGTATAATTTTATCTTAAAAAATAATAAATATAATTCGAACTATTAGTTACTAATATTTAATAATATTATATTATTTTTAAAATTTTCTTTTCTTTTTTATAATTTTATATACCTTTGACAATTATCCTTACGAATGAAAAAGAGAATTTTTGGCTTCTAGTTTTACAATTATGCACGGTAAATAAAAGTTTTTTCTATTTTTCTTTTTTTTAACTCTTTAGGAAATAATAAAATAAATAATTAGATTAGATGATAATAATTGTAAAAATAGAAAGTAATTTATAAATTAAAAAAATAATGGACCATAATTTTGAAAAAAAAATTATTGGTGCATGGCATCTACTTTAAATATTTTACTTTATTTCACTGTAGATAGATAATAGATAATTATAAAAGATATATGAATTAAAATGTAGTTGGGAGAATATTAATTAAAAAATCTTTTCTCATTTCACTTAAAAAAGCTATCATTGTATATCATTTAAATTTCATATAATAAACCTTTACTTTTGAAATAGCTGAAAAGGAGAATTAAATATTAATTATATTCAAAATCTTGACAAGTCTTTTTATTATTTATTTCTTAATAAAATTCTAATATTTGAGAAATGAATCCTAATTTTTGGAATTATTGTTGATATTTTAAATTGTAAGTCAAAACCATAATTATGGCGAAATTAACAATAAATAATAATAACAATAATAATTGCAATAAAAATGAAATTAAAACTCAATCAATAAATAATAACTTTAATTTTTAGGAGCAAATTACTAATTTCTTATATAAAATCATTCTAAACTAATAAATAACTTTTAATTCACTTGTTTTCTTCCTTGTTATATGATCTTATGATTTTCTAAAATTTTTTATGATGTGAAAAGTAGAAATTGAACATATACTACAAATTAATGAAGCTATTATTTCGAATCACTTAAAAATTGATTGATGAAATTTAATTTGATCTGTACAATATTCAATTCAATTTGATTTTAAAATTTTTAATCATTTAAATCTAAAATAATTCAAATTCAAATAATTTAAATATCAAATTTGAATGATTTAAATTTGAAATGATTTGAATTTAAAATTATTTTAAAAAAAATTTTATCTTAAAATAAGCTAATGCGAATTAATTCGAGATGTGACATAACTTGCTCAATTACCGCCTTTACTTGCTGCACAAGTTGTAGGGACAAGGTATGATAAAACAATGATCTAGCAGCCTTGAACTTGTGGAGATGGCAATGACTTGGGCAATCACATCCTCTGAATTAATTCTTTGTTCTCCATTTCGAGGGTTGAAGCTGCTGCTTCTTCTTCTTCTTTGGTTAGATCTTGAAAAGGACTTGCACTGTCCTTAGGGAATGCCTTGAAACCCAATTAACACGAAAGTTGGTTTAAATCCTCAAGATGCTGAATGTCACACCTAGCTGCCATTGAAAGTTGGAAAAACTCTTTAAACCCTTTTCCTTGTTTCCAGAAGAGGTCCAAAAAGTCATACCTAGCTCCTAATACATGACAGGAACCAGTTTGACATAAGATTACTAAGAAAGGTTGACCTATGCTTCATACTACATTGGATATTGACTGACAATCAAAACTTGTTTATCGGATGCTGTCTCATAGAAAATATAGATGAGTACTGTGTGTGAGTGGATGGAAAAGGTAGACTCCCCACTTCACCCACCTACACCACCTAAAGTCTTAGCATGTGGGGGGTGGCCTCAAACTCTTCACTCATCCTCTGCACGTTGATTAATAAAAGAAAATGAGAGAGAGAGAGAGAGAGAGGGTTTACTCCTTAAGTTCATCTCATTTACTCTAAATCCCCATTTTGAGGGTTGAAGAAATCATAAGGAATGATTGGTAATAATAACACCCAAGCTGGCAAACAAAATATAACCCCTTGAAAAAGTTTCAAGTCTTATTGTTTTCAAGCATAATAACGTATTGACCAAATCATAGTGGACTAAGATGACATGAGTGAAGAATCGTCCCTTAAATTTAGGGTTTTTTTTTTCCTTTTATTCTTTGTAGAAGGTGTATTGGTTAGGTTTTCTATCAATCAAATTCATTTCCTAATATTTGGTAATACCCTGAGTATTATTATTAAGTTTGAAATACATAATTGAAGATAATTATACTTTCTTATTTTATAGATTATAAATTTGAAATTATATAACACCTTCAAGAGGGAAGTATAAGTATTATGTATCTGGTAATGATGTTGTACATATCTTGTGTGGCTAGGACGAGCTCCAAGTGTATAGCTTCTTCCCTATCTGTGTTAATGAATGCAATATAAATGCAATCACCCAACTAAAGGGTTACAAGATAAAAGATGAAGCACAAGGGAAAATGTTGCCAAATTAAAGGAAATTATGTGGATGTTTTAGGGTGAGGGTTGTTGTGCAATGATTTGGATTATGACACCACTAGACCTACCTTTGACTTAGCCCACTCATCACTCTCTTCTCTTCTCTTTCCTTTTGCTTGATTCAATACCTAATTCCATATCAAACTCTGGTATTGCTAAGCTGAATTTGTCCCAACCGCGACAAAACGCACAGTAACAGTACTGTTGTTCAATCATTAGGCCCTAGAGACAAAGTACTAATTAAACACAAGCCAACCACCTTCATTACCTCCTTTAAACTCAAACCCTGGCTTTGTCTCTCGCATTTATAACATCTACTCTAACTGTATATATAAAGATACAGTTAATTTGTCCATGGTTGCATGTACTAGCGCACGCATTATTCACAATGTAAATCCACGTCTATGTTTTCAGCCTAAGATGAAATGATCTATGCATTCTCTCCTTTTTTTTATTTTTCAAATAAGAAAAAAGAGAAATATAAAAATAACACGATAATCACATAGTATTGATGCAAAAACCATGTCAAGATGTTGCATGCCTATGGGAAAAAACATTGTTTGAAGGTCTTCCCCTCCATCAACAGGATCAGGATCACCAAAAAAAGATGGGAAAAAGAATAACAGTAAAAGGTATGTGTAATTAGTCTTTCCTAAAAGGGTTTCTTTTGTGTTATGAAAAACTATATATATATATTGTGCATTTGAGTGCTTTTCTGCACCATGGGAGGCAGCAATCATGTCTTAATATGGGAGTAGAAGAAGTGGTGACACAGCTCACATGCAAATTGATTAAAAAAAAAAAGAGTTTTATAGCATTACAATTTACAGCAAATATTCTTTTCACTGTTCCACACTGATCTTAAAATATTTGTATTCATATAAACCTGCAAATGGATGATCAGTCTGATTTATTAAACCTGCATGCAAAGAGTGGTGCCTATGCCCATTTGCTTCTTGTTATTTCCAAATCCCTTTCCTCTCACATACTGCTGGGTAGAGGACCACAACCCTAATATTTCCTTTTCATTTGATGAACCCCAAAGGACATAATTTCTTTCCTCTTTCTTTTGTTTCTTTGTTTGCTTTGAGAGAGACCAGTTTGATGATGACAAAACATTGCTATGTTTCTTCATATATAGACTCAAACCCTTGTTTTGGGATGCATATCCCTACAAAACTTTGGACACTCCTCTTTATAGTTGATGGCATCTTTCAACATCACAAAGTAACCCTAAATAATTATACCATTGCACAAGAGAAAGAAGCAATGTATAAAAGTAGTACTATATCTTAAAAATTCCCTAAGTTTAAGTTATTTTGAGATTTACTATGCATATATATAATATGGGTGCTTCCTAACTTTTTTGAATCATTGTTGAACACTTTATAGACCTTTAACCTTTTTCTTTTCTTTTTTTTTTTTTTTTTGCAAGTTCTTTACATCCATACACCTAACCATTGAAACTTTCTAATTTTTCAGAAAATTATTAATTTATATATATTGAGTGAATTTTTTAAACTTTACAAGTAAGTTTAAATATATACTACATGTTTGCCCGAGCATAAATAAAAAAAATTAAAATTATATCTTACAAAAATAAAAAAAAGAATTATAAAAAGCGTAATAATATTTTATTTGTAACAATCGGATAATTTCACTACTCAAATCGTATGAAAATAATAAATAATAATAAATTCATAAATTTTGCTTTCTAAATATATAGTTAAGCAATGAGACACATATTTCTCTTATGGGGGAGACGCCTACAACAAAATGGGAGGATCAAATCCTTCACAATTAAGTTGTTCATAGTAGTATATATGTAAGAAAGTGTGTTGTAGAATATATATGATGTAGTATACTTTTATTATCCATAAGATGTTTTGCAGCTTTATGTGGACAAGCAGCTATAAAGAAACAATGACATAGTGCTTCGTGTATATGCTCTTTCTGCTAGACAATTGCCAGTAAATCAAGCAGTGCTTTATGTAAGCTTTTCTCCTGAAATAATCAAAAGGGAGAGACTGTATTGTTGTACAAATCCATTTGATTACTTTTAATTCACCCACATGTACATGCTAAAGGATGTAAAATGTGAATGACTCTAGCTTAATTTCAACCTCTACCTTGCTCATCACCCAAATTCTATAGAGTTTAGTATTATTTTCAAGATTATCATGGTGATTTTATTATTACCAAGTTATTATTTCCCGCGATTCAAAATTATCATGTTTGGTTAATAATTATTAATTATCGGAGTTAAAAATTATCATGTTTGGTATCATATAAAATGAAATATGATTTTTTTAAAAAAAATTATCAAAATAATCATAGTAAATTAAAATAATAATAATTTGAATATTATATAAAGAGAACA